TGTAGCGAGCTGTACAACGGGTCACGGTGCGCCTGCCATGAGGGGTACGCACTGACACAGGATTCCGTGTCCTGCGAGCGTAAGTGCTTCTGGTACACCCTCCCGCCCTCCCGCCCTCCCTATCCGCCCTCTTCTGAAACACACACACACACACGCACACACGCACACACGCACACACGCACGCACACACACACACACACACACACACACACGCCTTTGGACCTTTGGATGCCCAGTGCTCCAAGCAATGATAGCGTCAAAGGTTCTCTGTGTGACGTTAGAGAGGTTGCACACAACGGAAATTCGTAAGATTTTGACCGTCCGGGTTCGAGTAACGAAAGTTGCTGCGAAGATCCGTCCGAACGCGACCAAAACAGAGCAGATCTACGAAAATATTTTTCGTAACGTGGAGTACTAAAATACTGATATTTTACAACTCCCTGTCTTGACTCTCCGTACCTGCGCGCGCCACGTCGACCTACGAAAAAGTTCGCACGTTGAGCGCAACCTCACAATTTGCAAATTTCCCTTGGCTTTCTTCGTCAAATATATTCGTTACGGCGCTACGAATTTTCGTTGTGCGCAACCTCTCTATTGTGTATTTCATTTGCATTGGTGTCTCTGTTTTCTGTGTACGTGTGTGTCTACGTGCTTGCATGTACACGTGTGTGTGTGTACGTGCTTGCATGTACACGTGTGTGTGTGTGTTTGTGTTTGTGTATGTGTGTGCGTGTGTTTTCGTTTATGTGTGTGAATCTGTTTGTGCGTATAATTATGTGTGTTCGTATGTATGTATGTGTGTGTGCATGTGCGTGTGTGCATGTGCGTGTGTGCATGTGCGTGTGTGCAAGTGTGTGTGTGTGCATGTGCATCTGTCTGTGCGTGTGCACACTAATGTTCCCGTTTACAGCGGTCTGCAATCCACCGTGTTTGACGGGAATGGTCTGCACGTCCCCAGACGTGTGTGTCTGCAGAGACAACTCAACATGTGCAGCCCGTGAGTCATACCAAGGCACTGGTCATAGTTATACCAATATCCTAGCCCTGGTGTTACCGAGACCCTAGCCCTAGTGATACCAAGGTCCTATTCCGAGACCTAGGTCTTAATGTTACCGAGACCCTAGCATTTTAGGCGATTCAGACTACGGCCATAATCAGGTCTGAACTTGAGTTTCCATGGTGATGCAGTCGTGTTTCAAATGATTCTTCACAATCACTGATCAAACACGTCTGTATAGTAGAAACGTGGTCACAGTTGGCCGTAGTCTGGATCGCCTATTAGTGTTACCGAGACCCTAGACTCATACCAATACCCTGGCGTTAGTGATACTGAGACCTTGGCGTTAGTGATGCTGAGACCCTGGCGTTAGTGATACTGAGACCTTGGCGTTAGTGATACTGAGACCCTGGCGTTAGTGATGCTGAGACCCTGGCGTTAGTGATACTGAGACCCTGGCGTTAGTGATACTGAGACCCTGGCGTTAGTGATGCTGAGACCCTGGCGTTAGTGATACTGAGACCTTGGCGTTAGTGATACTGAGACCCTGGCGTTAGTGATGCTGAGACCCTGGCGTTAGTGATACTGAGACCCTGGCGTTCGTGATACTTAGACCCTGGCGTTAGTGATACTGAGACCTTGGCGTTAGTGATACCGAGACCCTATCCTACTGATAGCATGGCCCTGGCCATGGTGATAGCAAGGCCCTATCCTTGGTGATAACGATGCCTAGCCTTAGTGACAGTTAGCATAGACCTCGGTCCTACCGGTAGGACCTACGGGTAGGACCATCATTCACAGACATGCTGCAGGGCCTCTGTTCTAACAAAGTTACATGGACCTGAAACTTGACCCTAAACTGTTGCTAAGGGGCTACTGAAGAAGTCCACAAACTTTCGACGTGATCGCACAAGGCATACTACGAAATTCCATGGCAACAGTCGATGATAACCATGGAAACGGAGTATGGAATTGTTCTGGCTGTCCAACCGTCCTGCTTTGAGCAGGTCAGTCCTGCATTCCGCTGCAATGGAAGGCTAAGAAACATTAGGTCCTCACCACGATCGATGTGCCATGGTCAAAAATTCACTTTGGACAGAGTTGCTAGCGCTCCGACAGGAACATGTGCGGCCATTTTGACTATTGATAAAATCGCACATATACATACGCAATGCACTGGACATAGTCTTGCATTTTGCACCATTACTTTGCCCTACAAAGACTTCATCTTGACAATTGTTTCAAAACAATTGTTTCAAAAAAAATTCTCAACCAAAAGCACTTTTTGCAGCGCAATTTCTTGGGTCCTACCGGTGGGACAGCGTGCAAGCTATGAAATTTAGTAATACCAACACCCTTGTATACTTAATGTGTGATATCTTTTCTGGGAACTCCCCCCCCCCCTCCCCCCCCCCCCCCCCGCTTTCCGGGCACCCCTCCCCTACACCTCTACTGATTCAGTACCCAAATACGTGTAATGCCTGCAGCTTTGAGTTTGGGTCGACGCGCTTCGTGAATTTGGTCGTGTTCAATCCATCCTCCGTTCACTCTGTCTGTCTGTTGCTGGGGTGCCAAGGATCATCATTGGGGCGGTGGCGTTTCTACGAATGTGAAAAACTCGGCCTCCAGCCAAATCGTGAATTATAACTCGAATTTAATCATACTGGTCCTTTCTTCTTTCTGAATTAATTGAACCGTGAATTATTTTTGGCTTTTTGTTTATTTAGGATGCTTACGTGCCATAGGACTTCGTCAGAATGATCGAGCGACGTCATTTCGCCTGCCCGTGCTGCACAGCCGTACGGGCGAGCCATGCAGCACTGTTGTCATGGCGCCGACGGGGCGTCGCGTTGCCATGGAAATCCGGTTCAACACGGCGTTCCGGGCCGGCGTCTACTCACTGGCAGACATCTGTACGCAGGTCAGTAGTGCTGTGGCTACTGCATAACTCTAGAAAAAAGTAAAGTTCGCATGCATTCACGCAATAGGGCTTGAAAGTGATTACGTCAAAAACGGCCAGGGAGTAGTAAGTTCACATGAGATTTCTATTTCGGATCCACTAAGGCGTGACTTTGCTATTGCCTCAGTGTGTGGGTGCATAGCAACCCACTCATGTCGTATGCAGGTGTAACTTTGTTTTCGCCACCAGTTGTCACCCCACCCCTATTAGCCAACCCAGTCAGTTTCACAGGCTGTACTTATCACCAAGAGTAGATAAACAAGAGTGTGCAACTCCGGATCTCTCCTGCACAATCTCCAGATTGTACAATCTCCAGATTGTGCAGCCGGCCCACGGCGGAAATGTTTGTTGACGTCACCTTTTTTCAGAAAAACGCGCTTCTTGCCGCAGAGCAGTGTGAGAGCAGGTGCTGGGCACCGACCTTGTAATGTAAAGCCCGGCCAAGAACACGAGGCAAAACTTTCCGAAAGACTAGCAGCGCGTGGGTCGTCGAAAAGATTACATCAACAAAAAAATCCGCCGTGGGCCAACCCATCCGCGCGGATCCGGGAGTTGCACACTCTTGTTTATCTTCTCTTGTCATCACCTTGCTGTGAGTAAGACAGCTTGAAATTTGTTTGGATTCATACAAAAACAGGATCCAAGTGGATCCAGTTTTTGAATTTTGAAATTGTTGCTTTGCCTTGACGTAGCACTTTCAAGCCCCCTATCAACGCATCCAGTCCAGAAGACACTTCATATCAGAATATCAAACGTTTTCGTTCCCTTCTCTTCAGGATTATACAGGGAATGGCGAAAATGAAAAATGACCACAACTTATACCGTAAATGAGCTGAGATACAACACCCGTGACAAGGTAGAAATACTATCGTACAACTCGATATTTCAGTATAAATTTAATTTCAGGAACACTAATCGTGTGGGCTACAGTGAGGGCTGCGTCCCAACCGCCTGCGTGGATTCGCAGGAAGTGTGAGTTTCGAAGCCTGAAGAAAATGTTGAACGGTCTCTGCTGGGATGACTATCTATCTTCTCGGTAGGCTGCTCTAGTGCTGCTATCACGCATTGCCCGCTTTTTTTGTAGTTTGAGCACTCTGGCACTGGAGCGACGAGCTATCTTAATGTCTGTGGTTCCTCCTTTGTACCATGGCTGGTAGCTCAGCCTATTTAGCTCGTAGCTGTACTGATGAGGCCTTTATGGCCGAAACAGCTTGCTGTCTACAGCATTTCGTACCTATCTATCTATCTATCTATCTATCCATCCATCCATCCATCCATCCATCCATCCATCCATCCATCCATCCATCCATCTATCTATCTATATCTCTCAATCTGCGGACAGAACTGTTTCGTCCTTTGTGGACTCGTCAGCGCAGCACAGAGGAAATGAGGCCGAACCTGATAGCAATGGAAATAAAAATTTCCAATCAGGCCATCTATATCTCTCTATATCTCTCTGCCTCTTTCTATTGCGCTGATGTGTTGCGATCGTTGCACAGATGGATCACATTGTGCAGTTGCGACTAGGCAAGCTCGATAACAGCAGTCAAATATCCCTGTGCCCCGCATCACTAGCTCAGCTAGAAGCCGATCCTGTTCGCCGCGTCTTGTCGGAAGACAACACCTTGCAGATATTGCACTGGCTGAGGGACCGGCATGAGCGACAACTTTTGATGTTTCGTGCGTTCTCAGTCGGTGAGTTTGCCATTCTTGGCGTTCCTTGGGCTTTCCTGAGGGCGTGTAGACCAAACTACTCCACCTTCTCCTGTCTTTGCTGGTTGTATACTAGTAAGTTGGATTGGTTTCACGTTCGTCTTCTGTGGTTCCCTTGAGAGGAACAGTATGGGACGAACAAGACCTGTTTGTTTGTGTGTTTGCGTGTTTGTGGGTGCGTGCATGTGCATGTGTGCGTGTGCATGTGCGTGCATGCATACGTGTGTGCATACTTTCACATGCGCGCGCACGCACGTGTGTGTGTGCACGCGCTGTGTTCTGTACGATGTGTGCAACTGCAGACTCTGCTTGCACAAACACATGTGGGTCTGATCAGGCATGGTGGCAAAGGTGAGAGTGAGCGGCTTGCTTCAAAGTTCAAACAAATACATAGATTCTTGGCTGGAGGGGATCAAACTAGCACACCATGCACAGAAGCCATAACGTTTTTACTAGGCCCGGCGGAACAGGTCCGGCAAGAGTACATAACCCCCCAGAGTGTGCAACGCCTGATCCGGCTTTGCGTAGGGTCTTGGTCGAGCGTAATCGGATCTTTGCGTCATCATACCGTACACATCTGAGGGGAACCCGGAGAGTCGCGGGTACTCTCTGATCAAAAACAACGGTGCCCTGCCTCGAGACCGGCCTTGCGCTGGTGTGGAGTGTACGCATGACATCAGAGGATCCGATTACGCTCGACCAAGACCATATGCAGAGCTGGATCAGGCGTTGCACACGCTGGGGAGTTATGTACTCTTGGTCCGGTTGACCAACGTTTAGACCACCGACACGTGAGGTGGTAGTGTTCACCCGCCATAGCATGTGCAATGCTTGAAGGGCTAGTGCATGGGCAGAACAATCCTAAACTGCGTCGGCCGCCGGTCCTACTTTACTAGGCCTTTCGTATTATTACTATTCAATTAGAATTATAATGGTGACTTGAGCCACAGCAAAAAAAATACCCTCAGTTCCTATGCTATTCACTGACGAGTGGAACGCGAAAATCGATTTTGAATAATAAAGTCTTCAAATTTCTTTAAAATTCCCTCATTAATGAAACCCGTTGTTGTCTGGCCATATCTGCAGCAATTATAATTATTCCTTATTGCACTTATAAAAAAATTCACCGTTCGCGTTACGCTCAGCTGGAGGCCGAGTTTTCCGCATCCGTAGGAACACCACCGCCCTCTGTGGATCAAGGCGAAAATGCGGCTCCTAGCGGTGGAAGGTGAGTAGATCAGACCCATCATAAAGTGGTCCAAGACCGAAAATCCCATCCGAAGCCCCAGCAAGCAAGCAAGCAAGCAAGCAAATGCGTCCATGCCTGTCGGCGCCCCCTTTTCATGCTGAGTATCCACTACGGCAATTCAGTACTGTCGGGTGTCGAAGAACTGAGGGGTCAGACTCCTAAGTTAGCATAGACCGTTCTTTTTTCAAGCACAGTAAACCTGTAACTAAAGACCACAGTGACTAGCGACCAGCCTGGTACTACAGACCTCTTCGCCGGGCACGGACGGTCTCACATTCATATATGGTTGTGCGGTGCAAACCTCTAACTAAGGACCGCCGCTGCCACTAAAGACCTGATTCTCTGGCCCCGAGGGGTGGTCGTTAGTTACGGGTTTTCATGTATTATACTCTATGCACGGTTGAGTCACCGTGTGTGTATATCGCTGGGCTGTGCTTGGTGAAATTCTAGCCCGTTTTCAGGCCCGGCGGAACCGGTCCGCTTGGTCAGGTCATGGCCCTGTTGCCCAACAACATGTGTTTACTGCTGAGGGGGACATGTGTACTACCCATCATAAACACAGAAACAGGAGCAATGTTTTCTTGCAGCATGTCCACATTACCTGCTGCAAGACTTGAGCTCGTCTAGAGCTGAGTGGCGGGCAAAATATCCCATGGATGTTGATGGCACCATGATCGCCGTCCTGGCTGTTGATTCTACTTCCCAGTCACCATGGTCACGTCATCATAAACTCCACAAAGTATGGAAGGCTGCATGGCCGGACCAATCCAAAACTGCTTCACCTGGTCCTGCGTTTCGTTCATGGACACTACGTTCTTCGGTAACTGACAGTACTGGAGTTGAGATGTCGTCACTGTCCCTGCGCAGTGAGCGGACCCAGTGAGAGGCGTCACGTGTGTTCCCCTCGCGCATGAATTTATCCAGCAGCGTGGAACAGACCAGCCATTCAGCATTTTAAAAGTCAGCGTATTCTCGTCGTATCAAATTTCGTATTTTACGTGCCTGCTCGGACTTGGTGTGCGCGTGCGCGCGCGCGTGTGTGTGTGTGTGTGTGTGTGTGTGTGTGTGTGTGCGTGTGTGTGCGAGTGCGTGTGTGCGAGTGCGTGTGTGTATGTGTGTGTGTGTGTGTGTGTGTGTGTGTGTGTGTGTGTGTGTGTGTAAAATAGGGATTCACTGGCCAGAAAAGTCACTTAAAACAGCTGTGTGGTGGATACCAGGCTAAAAACAGTGGCAGTCAATTCATCAGGCTTGCAAGCTGTTGAATGGTGTAATCCCAGCACAAGTTGCTATGTCTAACATAGCTGTTCGCTATCATCGCTTCCGTGATGGGCATGTCTGAGGTCTGACGTGTGTGTGTGTGTGTGTATGTGTGTGTGTGTGTGTGTGCATGTGTGTGTGTACGCATGTTTGCGTGTGCGGGCGTGTACATGTGTGTGTGTTTGCATGTGTGTGTGTAACGACGTGAATGCATGCGTGCGTGCGGGCGTGTATATGTATGTGTGTTTGCATGTGTGTGCGTAACGGCGTGAATGCATGGGTGCATGCGTATGTTACGTGCGTACACGCGACCACGTTTGTCTGTTTATCTGCTATGCGTGCGTTCTTCCACCCTGTATGTGTCCGTTTCCATCTCACCATCACAGGTGCTGCTTCGCGTACTCCGTGTCCGTGCCCGGCAAGATTGTGCCTCTGCCTGATGCCACACTGTACCCCAGGGTTAAATTTCTCTACAATCTACCGCACGTGTTCGGCCGCAGCCCTCGTGTTCATGTGATTGTTAACTGCACTGTCAAAAGTCTCACGAGGCATGCCACGAGGCACGTCGGTGTTCGCAGGTACTGCTCTATACCTTTGAAAAATGTATCCTCGCTAGCCGGCCCCGTTGGTGTCTTCAATGCAGTAAGTTTCCTCATTGATCTTTTTTTTCATTCAAATGTTTGGAATCAGTTGCTTGCGGCATGTGTTTTCAATGTTTGTCTCTGTCTCTCTCGCTGTCTCTCTGTCTCTGTCGCTGTCTCTCTGTCTCTCTATCTCTCTGTCTCTCTGTCTCTCTCTCACTCCCTCACTCTCTCTCTCTCTCACTCTCTCTCTCTCTCTCTCTCTCTCTCTCTCTCTCTCTCTCTCTCTCAAATATTTGTACTGCGTAGACAGGCTCTGGTGATCTCCGAGTTGGTAGCTATATAGCCATAGTGACTATGACGTCGTCGGGCAACACTGGACATCACTCTATTCGAGAGACACTACCGTTCTCCATGGTGCGGCCACCACCAGCACTGACGACAGTGACCTCGTTCAAGCCCTATTTGGAATGCATGGTCGACACATCACCATGTGGTTAGCTTATTTTTTGATTCAATTTTTCTATGATCACAGCTCACAGGCAAAGACAGAGAAAATGCATATTGGGAGCATAGTGCGTGTGATGGGTTGTTGCCCTCAGCCGACCTAAGGTCTCGGCATCATGGGGGCATCAAACGCACCAAGAAAGAGAAGAGATGGATAATGTGTGTTAACGTTTGACTTGTTTGGCTGTTCCGTGTGATATTGTATTCACAGAGGAGCAGACTCTCGACAACGCGCTTGTATCAATGCTTGTCACTGTACCCCCTTGTATACTCGCTCACCGGCCTTTCATGATCAACATCAGTTTGAGGTGAGGCACGTCACACGTCCTATACAACGCCGTGCTGCTAAATGCTTGCAAAAGTGCTCGATATCGTGAGGGCAGAGCCAAATTACAAAGGTTTGCAATGGAAACAGGCTTAATTTTAACACTTTCCCATTGCCAGCGTGTATCAAACTTCATAATTTAAAGGGGAAGTATACCCTAAAATCAAATTTCCACCAGTTGTAGTCTTCGGGGTGCTGAGTCGAATGGTCTTGGTCCGAGGAAGCTGCGACGCTCCCTTCCTACTTGAATCCCAATCGAACTCGCGCACTTCCACCGAAACTGGGTGACTGCGCCCTACTAGATGGGGATTTGTATGCAAAATGTCACTAAAAGCGCCATTTCGTTCTTATAAAAGCACGGATGACCGCGATTGGCCCATATGTTGTAGTCTTTTGGACGCTGAGTCGACTGGTTTTGGTCCGAAAAGGCTGCGATGCAGCGTTCCTCCTTTATTCCCAATCGAACATGGTTGAAGAAGCGGTCACGTGGTCCTGGTTGCCCAAATCACCTGGTCACCGCGCCAGCAGGCGACAACTTTCACACCAAGGTTCAACTCGAGTGACAGGACTGCACCCAAAAAAGGTCAAACAGGCTAGTAAGTAGTTGTACCCTGCAGGCACGGTGACCAGGTGACTGGTGTACGCAGGAGCACGTGACCGCTTCTTCAACCATGTTCGATTGGGAATAAAGGAGGAACGCTGCATCGCAGCCTTTTCGGACCAAAACCAGTCGACTCAGCGTCCAAAAGACTACAACATATGGGCCAATCGCGGTCATCCGTGCTTTTATAAGAACGAAATGGCGCTTTTAGTGACATTTTGCATACAAATCCCCATCTAGTAGGGCGCAGTCACCCAGTTTCGGTGGAAGTGCGCGAGTTCGATTGGGATTCAAGTAGGAAGGGAGCGTCTCAGCTTCCTCGGATCAAGACCATTCGACTCAGCACCCCGAAGACTACAACTGGTGAAAATTTGATTTCAGGGTATACTTCCCCTTTAATAGTTAGATATGTGGTCTTTAACGACTGCTACGATGCCATCTTCAAAAATAGTCAATAATGGGGGAGGGGGGGGGGGGGGTCAATGGAGACTCATCTTCCAGGCAGCGATAGTGAACGAATTCAAGCTTCCTGTCTACTCTCACCATTACCAATTGCATTGCTGAAACGAATCACTTCATAAAAAAATTAAAAAATTTCACGGTTCGCGAATCACTTCATACTCTAGATGAGAATGGCACGGGAAATCACCAACTCAATCATTGCTGCAAGAGCACTGGTTGACATCCAGTGAGGCGTTATCGCATATGGCCAAGCGCGGTCCAGAACTATTTGATTTGTCTTCTGATTCCGTGCCGCGTTATGCAATCTTGTCTGTTCTTCTGCCGTTATTCAGCACGTGGTGGCGGGAACCGCTAGCTGGAGACTTAACAGTACGGTGGAATATCACCGGCTTTGTATCCAGCGACAGAGTGATTTCTTACGGGCAGATGCAGCACCACTTTGATGGCGTAAGTCCAGGCCCGGATCTACAACTGTCATCGCGAAACATTGGTACAATATCCAGATACAGAGAATATCAAGAAGATCAGAAAGCATTCACAGCCTGGGAGAGTGTGAACTGTCAAGTGTTCCTACAGGTTGCTTAATGCAGCTCAGCACAACAAATGCATTTGCAAGACTCTACACCCCTGTTGTAAAGAGCCCCCTCAAACTCCTCACCCCCCCCCCCACACACACACACGCCCACACATGCACCCTAACAACGATCCCTAATCCCAAGAGCTGAATTGGAATATTGCCCGCTAAAGCCAAGTGATGTTGATTCATGATGAAACATCCAGATATAACAAACGAACGGAAGAAAGTGTTCAGTCTTCAAAGTTCTTGTGATGGTAGCAGGAATAGAAGAGAAGATTTTGCCCAATAAGCAACGTTTCATCGAGGCAAGACTTGCTTGGGGGATATATGCATTATTGAAATATGCCAGTATCTGGTTATACGATCATCTCTTGCTCTCTCTCTCTCCCTCTCTCTCTCTCTCTCCTCTCTCTCCTCTCTCTCTCTCTCCTCTCTCTCTCTCTCTCTCTCTCTCTCTCTCTCTCTTTCTCTCTCTCTCTCTCTCTCTCTCTCTATCTATCTATCTATCTATCTATCTGTCTCTGTCTCTGTCTCTGTCTCTGTCTCTGTCTCTGTCTCTGTCTCTGTCTCTGTCTCTGTCTCTGTCTCTGTCTCTGTCTGTCTGTCTCTCTCTCTCTCTCTCTCTCTCTCTCTCTCTCTCTCTCTCTCTCTCTCTCTCTCTCTTTCTCTCTCTCTCTCTCTCTCTCTCTCTCTCTCTCTCTTTCTCTCTCTCTTTTTCTCAGACATCATCGTTTGTGCAGATATCTTCTGATCGGGTTGGCCTACTTGTATCCAGTCCTGAGCAGTTCATCTCTCGCATAGCAATCCAGACAGTGTTCACTGCTACCTGGGCACACAGCGACGATCTGTACACCCTGAACACCATCTATGCATACAGCCATGAGGTGTATGTGTTGGGTGGACAGATGACGCCAATCACCAATCGCTATCCTGCGCTGGCAGAGGTAGGAGTACTTCTGCCTCTCAATGAAATTGCCGTATGTGTGTGTGGGGGGTACATACATGTGTGTGTTGTGTGTGTGTGTTGTGGGTGTGTGTGTGTGCGTGTGTGTGTGTGCTCTATTTTACTCCATCAAGCTCGAGACACTCGATAAGCAACACGTATATTTACGCCATCCATTATCCTTCACAATCAAGCCGGAGAGAACTTGACTTGACGATCATTTTCTCCGATCCCGCATGCTTTGTCATATCCGAGTGCTCTCTGCCCTTTGATTTCGGTACATCCTTCCTTCACTGAAAGTACAGTGTATTTGCCATTGGCTTCCCCTAAACTGTTCAGGTAATCACGGTCAGTCAGATGACTCCCACGGTCCGATTGTCAGTACTTTGAAGCACAGTCAACTTCGCGACACTCAGCGGGGCATCAGAAAAGTGTCCTTATTCGCAAAGTGTCCTCAAACCCGAAGTCTCATAACATGTATTCATGTAGAAGGGACTTTGCTCTGGGCATGGAAATTCTGTTGTTCGCAAATTGTCGTTACATGTATATCCAGAGCCGTTATTAGCGAAGTTGACTGTATACTCATAAGAAGTGAAGTACTTTTCTGACACGAGTGTGAATGCGTGTCTATCCGTGCATGCTTTCTCAGATCGTGTTTGGCGCAACCCTGGACGGTTTTCGCGATTGCAATGACCTGCTTCGCTACCTGCGGAAAACCGTTCAGGTCGTCCTGAGGGCGGAGGGTGGTACGGATGAAACATCACTGGCCATCGACTGGGCACTGGCATGCGCCTCTGATGATGAATTCGCCGCCGACGTGTTGTCACGACAACCGACTTGCAGCGCACACGAGGTCAAGGCGAGCATTGTTGTGTCGCCGTGGTTACCCGCTGCATCCAGTGCGGCCGCCGAAGTCCGCCTCATCCTTGCTGTGAAATTGGTGCGTATCACTTTAGTATTCCATGAGGGTGTTGGCATTTAGAAACAGATATCGTATTTTCCGGAGTATAAGTTGCACTTTAAACACCACGAATTCACCCCCAAAAAGTATCTACTTTGTATTATGGCCAGTTTATGGGCATCGAAATCTTGCGGACATCCGAAAGTTCATTCCAGGACTTTTTGTGGTGATAGAAAAATCATTGATTGATGATGAGCGGCACAACGAGAGGCGATTGCCGTTATTTAAGTCTCGATTTTGAATGTAGCTTGGTCACGGTGCATTCCTTGATTCGTCGACCAGGGCTGCTGCACGAACCGTCTGCGAGCAGTGTGACTGATCGAGCGGCAATGTTTCATTGCAAACTGAATCAAGTGTATGACTGTATTGTGTTCGTCGTGCAGGGTGACAGGGTTCTTCGCGAGTGGACCGTACCTGCTTCTACACTCGCGGGTAGTTCTGGAATGTTCGAAGCCCTCAGTCCATTAAAGGTAAAGAGAAGAGAACATAATATCGCATAAGGTGGAGGGAGTTGAAAAATAAGCATGGATATGATGTGGGCGTGCCTTATCGCAGTTTTACTGTACAAATGTACCCTTTTCTCTTCCCCTTTCCCATTTCTCTCCTGAACTGTTTCTCACTCTCTCTCATAAATATAACTTACTCTCTCTCTCTCTCCCTCTCTCGCTCTCTCTCTCTCCCTCTCTGTCTCTCTCTCTCTCTCTCTCTCTCTCTCTCTCTCTCTCTCTCTCTCTCTCTCTCTCTCTCTCTCTCTCTCTCTCTTGTCTGTCTGTCTGTCTCTCTCTCTTTCTCTCTCTCTCTCTCTCTCTCTCTCTCTCTCTCTCTCCCTCCCTCTCTCCCTCCCTCCCCCTCTCTCTCTCTCTCTCTCTCTCGCTCTCTCTCTCTCTCTCTCTCTCTCTGTCTCTCTCTCTTTCTTTTGTGGTGCAGATATACTCAAACGATTCCATTGTCGAGGTACCGTTTGTTTCGGATACGAAACCTGACAATCTTCTTGCGCTGGTAAGAAGTGAAGTAGTATTAACCTTTCAATAGAATACGTTTGCCTATGATTCGTTGTGCACACTCCTTCTTCTTTTTCTTATGTATAGTGATGATTGTGTAATATGTTGCGCAATAATTAGAGTACACAATTTTTAAGTAAAAGTTTGCATGGATCGGAGTTGCGAGTACCGTACTCGCGCGATTAGAGCCCTCTCTTGAATAGTACCGTCTCTTGAATAGTGCCCTCTCTTGAATAGTGCCCTCTCTTGAATAGTGCCCTCTCTTGAATAGTGCCCTCTCTTGAATAGTGCCCTCTCTTGAATAGTTCCCCATCTGAGATGGACATTGAAAACCAATAGTGCCCCTGAGGCACTAATCGTGCGAGTACGGTTACTGTTAGCCACTGTGGCTAGATAATTTACAGTCTGAAGTTGTGGTACTAGGCAACTCTGTTACCTCCACACACACACACACACACACACACACACACACACACACACACACACACACACACACACACACACACACACGCACACACACACACGCACACACACACACACACCAACACACACACCAACACACACCAACACACACACGCACACGCACACACACGTCGCCGAGTGCAGGTTGTTCATGATGACGGCTGGACTTCACTCCTCACCCAGTCATCCGACCAGCTGACAATCGTGGCCGGCAGTCGTGATCACGTGTGGCATGCTCGCTTCACAGCAAGCTGTAGCATGTGCCCCAGTGCCACTGTCGTCTTGTCGAGAGCCAGGATGTCGGCGAGCGATAATGCTGTGCTCGCGGCACGTGTGTCTATCCGTGTCCGGTGCTGCGCAACGCCGTGGAAAGATTCACTGGTAGGTTTTGAAGTACCGTAAAGTACTGTTGACCCCCCCCCCCCCCCCTCTCTAATTCCCGCCCCTGTCGATTTTCTACCTGTGACGCGACTTCGGCGTATACAATGAAATACGATGTTGAACCGACGAGTGCACTGCTGTACACAAAACATGCCAATCCAGGATGAGAATGTGCACAATCCAGCACATCGAATCTGATCCTCCACGTTGTTGTACGTCGTGCTGCAGAAGTCAAAACCTAACAACAAATAACGACCTTTGGATCCGCTTGGGTCCCAGTTTTTGTATGGGGTCCATACACGTTTGGGTGGTTTTCCTTCGCAGTGTAGTGACATATCCACCGGTAGGTGTGGGTCCATGACCGGGAGGGCCTAGTCCAATCACTACCGGTGGATGTGTCACTAGCACTATGCTGCCAAGGAAAACCACCCAAACGTGTATGGACTCATGCAAAAACTGGACCCAAGTGGATCCAAAGGTCGTTATTTGTCGTTAGATTTTGACTTCTGACGTCATCACTTTCAAGCCCTATTCCACGTAGAGTACCGCTGAGGGTGTTCGGATTCTGTGTACTGCTGGTTATTTGACAGGGGCATTCTGTTGTAAGTTGATGAATACAGTAGAAACCTGTAACTAAAGACCGCCGTGACTGGAGACCAGCCTGGTACTAAAGACCACCGTGATTAGCGACCAGCCTGGTACTACAGACCACTTTGCCAGGCACGGACGGTCTCGCATTCATGATTATAATGGTTGTGCAGTGCAAACCTCTAACTGAGGACCACCTGCCACTAAAGACCGCTTTCTCCGCCCCCAAGGGGTGGTCGTTAGTCACAGGTTTCAGTGTATGCTGCTGAGGTAGGAGTGTGCAGACAATGTTGTCGCCGTACTTGGTGCGTTGTATTCAGCCTTGCTCTCTGCCCCTTTGCCATCCAGTTTGATTTGGACAACGGCATTCGGGATGCAAGGCTGGTTGAATCTCCGAGTGGTCACCGAAACGCCGAGTGGAATCTCTCGGCTACCCTGCCCCACGAGGTTGTGGACTTGCATGTCAAGGTTGCTCGCGTAACGGAGCCGCTGTTCCGCAGGATGACCAACGCGTGTCCGCGCAGAGGAGTGTCAAAGCGAGCACCGCCGCCATTGTCCCAGAGTGGATCAGCAACGATTGCCGAACCACACTCGTTACCAGGTATGCCAGTAGTATGCGGGAGGTCTTATGCATTTTTAATGTTTGACTTCGACGTAAACCAGCTGTGGATCACGAAATTTGACATGTCTTTGCTCTACAATGGAACTCACTTAGAGCATACGGACATACGAACATACGAACACGCAGTTATTTTCGGTGTAATTTTAATTTGGGTAATTTCGGTAGAAAATTCAGGCACCTAAATTTAAATTACACCTAAAAGGCACTAGAGTATGCAATGTATGTGAAGGGAATGCTGGTCACCTAATTCTAAATTACACCTGAAACCTGGCAGGTCCCTGACACCGAAATTTAAATACACCTAAAAAGCACTAGAGTATGCACTGTATGTGAAGGTAGGCTGGTCACCTAATTCTAAATTACACCTGAAACCTGGCAGGTCCCTGACACCGAAATTTAAATACACCTAAAAAGCACTAGAGTATGCACTGTATGTGAAGGTAGGCTGGTCACCTAATTCTAAATTACACCTGAAACCTGGCAGGTCCCTGACACCGAAATTTAAATACACATAAAAAGCACTAGAGTATGCACTGTATGTGAAGGTAGGCTGGTCACCTAATTCTAAATTACACCTGAAACCTGGCAGGTCCCTGACACCGAAATTTAAATACACCTAAAAAGCACTAGAGTATGCACTGTATGTGAAGGTAGGCTGGTCACCTAATTCTAAATTACACCTGAAACCTGGCAGGTCCCTGACACCGAAATTTAAATACACCTAAAAAGCACTAGAGTATGCACTGTATGTGAAGGTAGGCTGGTCACCTAATTCTAAATTACACCTGAAACCTGGCAGGTCCGTGACACCGAAATTTTACTATACCTAAAATTGCATGCTACACTATACCCTGTAAGACTTGCAGGGTATGGTTAAGCTGCCCGGTAAGGTTACATCCTAGAGTTCCCCTGCATTGCACTTCTGCCAAACACTGGCAGCAGTTTGGCATCACCAGTACAATACGTTTGAACTTTAGTGCAGGTACACATGCTTCCTCTGCAAACAAAAAACTCTGTGACATTGATTGTCCTCTCTGTTCTGGTGAATTGAGCTCTGATGAATCGAACCATAGCAGCTCTGACTGAGTAGGCTGAAACGTCACTAATTCTCGCCTAAACACTCTCTCCCCTCACTTGTCATCTCTCACTCGCCTTTTCCTCCTTTCCCATTCTTGACAGGCTCGAGACGTACATACCGAAGTGGCAAGAGTTCCTGCTCAACTAGTGTTTTCCTTTCTAAGAAGTGAGTTGTTCTACGCTCCCATGCACACCGTGTCGTGTTGTCCTACAAGGCTATGCTGTTCACAAGCTAACAGCAGCATGAGCATGTATCACAGTGATCTTGCACGGTGTATATTTATTTATTTATTTATTTATTTCTGCACCTCGTAGCATGTGAAGACAGCCAATTGAATTGAGGAGAGGGTGAGACCAACCACGGAAGAAGAGAAAAAAAGAAAAGAAAAGCACGGACACAAAAGGGGAAAAATGAGAATAGTGCTGGGATTACGGTGGGGTCAGACTCGTTTGACTTACATCTATAGAAGAATGGCCTGCCACGAGGAAAACATGGATGCAGTGAATGGCATTTCCGGTCTTTGACAAGTACTTTGCTGGTGAGCTGATCTACTCACCTCCCACCGCTTTAGGAGCTGCATCTGCGCCTTGATCCTTGAAGGGTGGTGGCGTTCCTACGGATGTGGAAAACTCTACCTCTAGCCGTGTCTCACACAAACTGGGAATTTTTTTATAGAAGAACACAAGGGTATGAGCAAGAGTACATAATCTCCCAGAGTGTGCAACGCCTGATCCAGCTCTGCATAGGGTCTTGGTCGAGCGTAGTCGGATCTTTGTGTCATCATACCGTACACGTCTGAGCCTGAGGGGAACCCGGGGAGTCACGGGGACTCTCGCATCAAAAATAACGGTGCCCTGCCTCGAGACCGGCCTTGCGCTGGTGCGGCGCACACGCATGACATCAGAAGATCCGACTATGCTCGACCATGACCCTATGCAGAGCTGGATCAGGCGTTGCACACTCTGGGAGGTTATGTACTCTTGGCATGAGCCATGAAGCAACTGTCCACCACTGTAACAAGATAGAAAGCAGCCAGATCTTTTTACAATTTTCTACAGTTATTATCGGCTCAGTATCCTGGTTCAGCGTCACAGTGTTAGTGTTGTTCTAAATTAACAGAGGTTTCCTGTGCATTGAACTTTTCTTTCCCAGCGTATCTACACGTCGGCGGCTTGAAGTCCGCCCGCAGCATCCTCTTGCAGATGTACGTGAGAACAGTCACCCCACGTCACCGCCACCAGCAGCAGCACAGACGGCCTCGGCGCTGAGTGTTCCGATTGAAGTCCCGCATGTTGTCGCCGGCCAGAGCATAGCTTTCGTGCCGTGCACAACCGACGGCTTTGTGTGCGCCAAACCTCTGTTTAGGACGTGGCAGTCGGAAATGAAAGGTTAGCGCCGCATACACCGTAGTGGACGTTGACACCCGGTGAAATACGCCCATTGCGCAATGATGTAATTTGTACTCACATAACACCCCACACAGCCACCTGCACCTGGGCATGGTCGTCTGGGGGTGTTGAACAGTGCATTGCTGATCCCAGCGTACTCACATAACACCCCACACAGCCACCTGCACCTGGGCATGGTCGTCTGGAGGTGTTGAACAGTGCATTGCTGATCCCAGCGTACTCACATGCATTACGCATACATTCCATATTTGGCAATGCGCAATGGACCCATGACCTGGGCAAGCTTAGCGCCGCGTACACGCACTGCAGTTCACCTAGTAGCGCTGACATAGAACACTGTGCTAATTGCTACCACTCTGCGTCTTTCTATCCCTTTCTTTTTACTTTCTCCTCGGCTTCTTCTTCTTCACAAGCTGTTGACAGAGACTCCCTCGATTCAGGCCAACGCCTGTGGCGAATCCATAAAATTTATTAATTAATACAAAACAAATACGTGCGTACTGTAAAATAGACCGGCAGTGCTCACGACTGCAAGCGGCCAGCAACGCCCCATGGGCCATGCCCCATGGCCCATGGCCGCTTGACTTCTCAACGGATTTCACCATGTCTACTACAATAGGATGATTTCACGCGATTGGCCCGAACGGTGTTGTGAATACGCCCGTCCTCAAGTAGAGCTCGCATACTCGTACCATTCACAGCATTCTGGTCTACTCTCCGCTTTCAACTCCTGTGCATTTCCATCGCATTCACAGCTACAAACAACCAGTAGGATGGTTATGTTACAGACGAGTCAGACTACGGCCATGATCAGTTCTGAACTTGAGTTTCCATGGTGATGCAGTCGTGTTTCAAATGATTCTTCGCAATCGCTGACCAAACACGTCTGTATAGTAGAAACGTGGTCACAGTTGGCCGTAGTCTGAATCGCCTATTAGTGTTGGTTTGGTTTGGTTTGGTTTTTATTATTTCAGTTCGTTGCCTCAACAGTGCAAAGTACAAATATCAAGAGGGACGAACGAAAAGAGAAAATGTTGGTGTCTGTGTCGACTTGCTTTATTCAAAGCCCCACATTTAAGTGAATAATAGCAAGAAGGTACAAGACGGTTGGTGTCTGTAGTTTCAACGCATTGTCTTCTTCGATGCTTAACGTTGTTTCACAAGAAGTATACGAATACTGGGAGTTTTTTGTTGAGGCTGAAAAACATGAAGTTTGCGAGCTTCTTTCCTATGCCCGGTTGCTGACTAGGAGCTTATAGGGACTATTTTACTTTATCTGACTTACAGTCCATTCAGAAAAAGATGAGCGCTGGCTCTGGAGAGCTCCCGTGTTTGGCGATTTTGTGGTACACTGTGCAGTGCCGCGCAATTCGAAACTTGAAAAAGGGTCCAAAAAAGGCACCTCAACTGGGGTTCGAACCACAAATGTACTGTTATGCAAGTGGAGTGAACAGCCTGGATTTTCATGGTTTTTACCCAATTCAGTGCTTTGGGGGCAAAACCTGGCCGAAATCCTATTGTTGTTATGGCTTGCTTTTTGGAGAAATAGACTTCAAAAACACAATTGGAAGAGCATTCCATGGGGATTGCCAAAAAAATTGTGACGAAAACTCAAAATTTGACCCGTTAATGGCCAAAAGCTAGGATATCTTTTTTTTCTGAATGGACTGTAGATGTGCTTTATGTTCCGCCAAGTACCCTGACTGGTGGTTATCTGGACATGTGTGTGTGTGTGTGTGTGTGGGTGGGTGGGTGGGTGGGTGTGCGCACACGTAGGCTTGCAGCCTATATCAATCTTATCTTCTGAAAATTGTAGTCAAGTTGCTGTCTGATGATCGGTTAAAACTAGTGTTGAAACGATCTCACCGGATACTCGTTAGCTCGCTCGCCAGAAACTCGGCTCGTTTGTGCAGCCAGCTCGTTTGCACTAACGAACACCGTACACCGTACTCCGTACACATGGCAGTACATGTCGACCGGAGAGTCGTAAAATATTTCACGACTCCCTGGTCGATCGAGAGTCCAGTCCCGCGCAAAGTGAAAATCACTCGCAGTTACAGTGACTGTATGCCTGCACGGAACTTGAGTTGTTTCAGTTGTCGTTGCAGCTTTGGTGGGCTCTAGTGATGTCTTGTTCCGCATCTGCTGACCTGACGCAGGATATTCTTCGGTCACCTCTCCATTCGAGTGAAAGTTTCGCTCAGTCGTTTGGAAGTTTTCTCCCGCAATGCAGCGAAGACCAGGGCTACTTGCAATCTTTGCAAAACGGTCTATTCTTACAAAGGCTACTCGAAGACGGCGCTGAAAAGACATCTCGACACCAAACAGCAGTCCGAAGTGAAGCAGCAGCAACCCCAAATGCCGGCGGTGATAATTTGAACCAGCTGAAAAAATCGGACTAAGGAATTTTTTTATTCAAAAAATCATATTTGCCACATCAATGAAACTCGTTAGCTCGCTCGATAGCTTGCTCGTTAGTGGAACTGATCGCTCGTTTGTTATAGATACGCTCGTTTCAACACTAGTTAAAACCGTGAAACGCAGAGTTAGGCCACACCAAGTTTTTTCATTGTTTCTCGTCACCGCGCGCGTACCTTTCTTGAGGATTGGACCAAAAAAAAATCTCGCGTCCCGGTAAACACGCATAAAAAGGCGTTGTAAAAGTACGCGCGGCGTCAAATCTGGAGTGCAGTGCTAGTGCACGAACCGAAGGACGACTTTTGCACCGTGTATGTACGCATACCGGTAGTTCAAGTACCACACCACCACACGACCTTTGGTTTGCTTTCTTTCCTATTTAAATAACATGCAACACTGGACTTCCTCACCAGAGGCCGGTGCAGGAGCCTGGTTTTCTGGCTGTATGTTGCAATTGACTGTCACGCGTGGTGTATAGTCTGATTTTAGGTCATAAATTGGGCCTTTGTAGTGTAAATAGCAGTTTTTGTTTTTCAAACCCTATTTTGTTTTTTTTCCGCCCGCCCGCGTTCCTTTTGAGATTTTCAGGTGACGAGAAACAATGAAATAACTTGGTGTGGCCTTACAGAAGAAACGCTTTTCGTCCCTCTCAAGTGTGTGTGTGTGTGTGTGTACATGCGCGTGTGTATGTGTGTCCACGTGCACTTGTGGTGTATGAATATGAACTAATTATCTTGTTTAGATGTTGCTGCTCGCTGCAACGCTCCCAATGCTCTGTTCCATAGCGAACGTGGCATTCTGCTTATCACCATAATGAATCCTGACGCACAGGAAGTCAGGGTAAGTTGCTCTCCTCAGATAAACTCCTGCCGATAATTGCTGTGATTCTCGACTGTGATCTATTCCAACTGATGAACGTCCCAAGAAAACGTGTTTGGAAACACTAGACCAACCTCGCTTACATGTGTATATATAGTCATGTGTTGGTCATAGCTTTATTCAAGTTACTGTCTCTACGCCTATTATTTGTATCACAAGAAATACCGGATGATCCAAATGAATAATCTGGAACATCCCATTCGTATGAATGATGACGATTGTAACTATGATGTAATCCGATCTATGCCCGCCACTCTGCAATGCATGCTATGCAGTGTGCACATTTGAGCTGACACTGTTTACTACACTGGTGTGAACAATGACGATGTAATCACAGTATAGTGACGATGTAATGATGACGTAATCCCACCTGTGCCCACACTGCTAGTCTGCTAGTGCTCACTAGACTGACCACAGTCACCACAAGGCATGCCATACATAGTAAGCTGACACTCTACTTCACTCGTGTGAACATGATGCTATAAAGTAAGTAAGTATAATATTAATATAAATTATCGTATCCGTTCCCGAAGGGAACTCACGACGGCCGCTAACACCCGATAAACCCTAGCGGCAGATGCAGCGCCTAACGGTGGGGGTGAGTGGGTGAGTGGGCAATAATGGTGATGTAATTATGATGTAATCATGATGTAATCCCATCTCTGCCCCAGGCCCAGTGGCCCCACTCACTGTGCATGCTATGCAGATTGAGCTGACACTCAAGCATACCAGTGTGAGCAATGATGATGTGATTATGATGTAATCCCATCTGTGCCCAACACTGTGTATGTGTGTATGCAGATTGAGCTAACGCTCAACCACACTGGTGTTAATGTCTCCGAGCCGGAGGTCGTGGCGCGGCGGCCCGCCTCGTGTTCCGCCGCGGCCGTGGATCCGGAACGCTCTCATGGTGCATTGCGACCGGGTCAGCCAGCTGCGGCTGTGAGATTGGCAGCACATTGCAGCATCACCCTGAGCGCTGTCGTCTGGTTTGACGCAAATTCCTCAGTGGTGTCGCAAGGCAAGGTGGAGGTATATGCGCAGTCCAGAGAAGGTGGCCCGGCGTTAAACATGTGCTCGCACAGAATACAGGTAAGGATCCGGCAGAAAAGGGAAGCTAAGGCCTTACCCAAGTGTACCTTCTTATAGTCTACATGTATGTATGTGTTCACATCATTGGCCTTGCTCGTACCTCCTTTCTTTTGTTCATTTGGCTTATGCGAAGACTAGCCAAGCTTGCTTGGTGATCTCAATGCGAACAAGCGTATCATGATAATAATAATAATTTGTGTTTATCATCTCGGCTTTGCGCCCTGCACCAGTACAACGTGACAGTGTTTGCAGCAGGTCTAGAGCTGCACAGTGGCCGCCGCGTACTGGACTCTCGCGAGAACGGGTTTCACTGATCAACAGTATACTTGCAAACATACTGTAGTACTTTTTCCCCTCCTTTCTATATCCCTTCCCAGGCCCGTAGCAGCCCCATTTAGGTTGGTCCGGCAAGATCCGACTTTGATGCTCCCCCCCCCCCCCCCCCCATACTCATACATATGCCGGTACATGTACATGACTTTATCTTGCCCGTAAAAGAGGCCGTTACCCCGCCAAAACAAAACAAAAAACATGTACATACATTGTACAATGTACATGTACATGCATGTAATCGTGACCATGTAGAGTGACATAGGGCGAGAAAAGGAAGAAGGACGTTCTGCATGAGTCAGGAAAAGGGCATCAGAATGTTGTGTCCGTCCAAACAGAACTTGTTGAAGCCTGTGAAGGTATAGCAACAGTATCTAAATGCATGTGATAAATGAACCAATATGTACCTTTGGAGGAGGAGAAAGTGTGTTGCAATGGACTATCTTTGGTACAAACCCTATCTAGAAAGAATTGGAGGAAGAAAAGAATCCGAACACGTTTCCGGAAGTACAGAGTAGGAACCTTCACGGGCATGACTGTCCTCATGACCTTCAGCAGGGTCATATTCCTGATGACATGTGCAAGGTAGGTCTACTACCGGCACCAAGAGTCCATAACTCTTGCCGGCACTACTATGTAATACCTCTATACAGTCAGACCTCGCTTAACCGCACACATCTGTTTTCCACAAAAACATCCGGATAGGCGAGGTAACCGGATAACTGGACACACATACAGTAGGTATCGGTTATAGCGTGGGTGTTTGAAAAACGACATTTGATTCTTATTGCCGATATTTCTTACACACGATAAATCACGTGTGACATATCATATGCGCGCACGTTTGGCATGTGCCATGTGGACACGTACACATGATACACACGGATCAATCAGACTCGCGGTCGTGCTCGGCGACTGTGGAGCAGCGGATACGAGAGAAGTCGGAAGAAAGAGTCCGACTGGACAGAAAAAGTGATTCTCCAATGTTCCCATGGACATAACTCTCTTTTTGTGTTGAATATTATTGTATTGAGCATGCACAGAGAACAGATGTTATTACTACAGGCGATATACTTTGCACTAATCTGGCATATTTTGCTACACAAAATCCATTCTTAGGGCCGATATATTCTACTATGCGATAATACTGCTTGTAAGAATAAATATACACATAAAATATGTGTTATGATTATGAAAAAATGAGTGTTCATTCTTGTAAGCAGTATATTCTTGTATACGACCACACTATAACCGATACACACTGTACTGTATATGCATGTGGCATGTCAAAAGCAGTGACATCATACATACATGTAGACGGGTCCTATGCAGTACAACTAGCGTGCCCAGTATGTAAAACAAGCGAGAAAAATGACAAGTGCATGCAACTGGTGCTGTCCGCACACACCCAGCAGGTCAAGGACCTCATTTGCTTGTACAACTCATTGATACTAGCTTCTGCAGGCGCTAGCCAGCCACATGCAACCGGATACGACGAAGCATTTTGTACACATTTTAACCAGTTTGTACACAAAATCATGCACCGGTATGCGGATCGCGAGGTCCGGTTATGTTGTATGCATAACATATGCTGCACATCGGTAACCAGCGATTTTCTTCCGGATGGCGAGGGATCCGGATAAATGAGGACCGGATAAACGAGGTCTGACTGTACTACTTACTGCACACATCATCATCATCATGGATGGACATCCTGAGCTGCTCACATGGGTGAGCTCCCCTTTTTTTTTTTTTTTTTTTTTTTTTTTTTTTTTTTTTTTTTGGCCGAATATTGGTCCGGCAGCTGCCGGACCTGCCGGACCGCCTGCTACGGCCCTGCTTCCGCGCCTGTTTTTTCTCCCTTCCCCATTCTCTTTCTGCCCTCTCCTCTTCTAAGTCGTCTCCTAGTGAGAAGGCACCATTGCCTGTTTGGTTGAACGACTATAAGTAAAAGCACAACACCTTGACACCGCGCGGGTAGAGCCAAATGCCACAAGTTGCCGTCTGTTGGTTGGTCTGCGGGCATGAGCATGTGTTTTTCTGCATTCTGCTTTACTGCTATTCCGTACAGCAACGTACACAGCTGGATGCACCGGTCCACCCTCTCGTCACAGTGGTGAGCCTGAACGCTGAAGTTCGTGCCAGCGACGACGAGGCGCACTACGAGAGTAACCGGCAGCAGTACGAGTACAGCGGAGGCGAGTATGACGCGTTGTTCAGCAGCTACGTACGGGCAAGGCCGACGTCAAGCTTCAGTCTCTCTCTGCACGTCTGTGTGAGGTATGTGTAGAGATAACCCCAGTAGGTATCATTGTACAGTAGAACCTGTCATGGCAACCACTCGGATAAGGTGACCACCTGTCCAAGGAGACCACTGAAACCAGGTTCAAGGTATGCTATTTCTAGTCAAATGATCCTGGATAAGGAGACCATCTGGTAACGGCAACCACGTTTTGAAGGTCCCTTGAGCGGTCGTCTTAGACTGGTTTCACTGTATACAGAAGGGCTGAGGCTTCCTGCAGTTTCAACTCTGAAAGGAATTCGGGTAGACACACCCATTCCCGTAGCGCTGCACATCGGAACCAGTTCTGTTTTTTTACAACGTTTCGGCACTTGGCAATCATCAGGTAACAAGAACAATGAATCCATGAACGCTTCATTGTATTATCTTGACTTTCCAAAGGCAAATAGATGGTGTGAGGCACTGCTGTCCAGTTTCAGTCTCTCGCTGCACGCGCGTGTGTGTGTGTGTGTGTGTGTGTGTGTGTGTGTGTGTGTGTGTGTGTGTGTGTGTGTGTGTGTGTGTGTGTGTGTGTGTGTGTGTTAAGATATGTGTAGGGATCCAGCAGGTGTGAGGCTCCAATGCATATGGCATCTTGTAGCTTTGACTATCACTCTTAGCACATGATAATTATGTAAGTAGGCAACACGTGCTCTTGACTCAACTAAGTTCAAATCCGCTATGTCCTCCTGTATCACAAGCACGACCAGCTGTTGTTCTAGTGTTGTTCTTGTTCAGAACACGGTTTTGTGGTTCACGCCCACTCGTTATTCCCAGGGTCTCCCCTCATTTTCATCGATCGGATGCTCTGCGTGTGTGTGTGTGTGTGTGTGTGTGTGTGTGTGTGTGTGTGTGTGTGTGTGTGTGTGTGTGTGTGTGTGTGTGTGTGTGTGTGTGTGTGTGTGTGTGTGTGTGTGTGTGTGTGTGTGTGTGTGTGTGTGTGTGTGTGTGTGTGTGTGTGTGTGTGTGTGTGTGTGTGTGTGTGTGTGTGTGTGTGTGTGTGTGTGTGTGTGTGTGTGTGTGTGTGTGTGTGTGTGTGTGTGTGTGTGTGTGTGTGTGTGTGTGTGTGTGTGTGTGTGTGTGTGTGTGTGTGTGTGTGTGTGTGTGTGTGTGTGTGTGTGTGTGTGTGTGTGTGTGTGTGTGTGTGTGTGTGTGTGTGTGTGTGTGTGTGTGTGTGTGTGTGTGTGTGTGTGTGTGTGTGTGTGTGTGTGTGTGTGTGTGTGTGTGTGTGTGTGTGTGTGTGTGTGTGTGTGTGTGTGTGTGTGTGTGTGTGTGTGTGTGTGTGTGTGTGTGTGTGTGTGTGTGTGTGTGTGTGTGTGTGTGTGTGTGTGTGTGTGTGTGTGTGTGTGTGTGTGTGTGTGTGTGAGCATGTGTGCACATGTGTGTGGGTGTGTGTGTGTGGGAGTGGGGGTGGGCGTGCGGGCGTGCGTGGACGCGTTGTGAATGACTCTCTCCTTCTTCTTCTCGCAGGCTCCTCCTTGGTAATCTGGGGATGAGTGGTCTGCGCAGTGTGGATGTGCTTGTCCCATTACCGTCTGGCTACCAGTACAGAGGAAATCACACTCTACATCGGGTAGGCACACCATGTCTTGTAGCATGCTCCGCATAGATTATAATACTGTAAAAGCCATAATTATATGTAACGAAGTGCTAATTCTAACGAATTAACGAGGGGAAGCCTGTCGTTAAAATACAGATCGTTAGACTGAAATCTATACATATACTGTCGTATTGAGCGTTGAGAATGAGTGAGAATTGTTACCTTTCGTACACGTAAACCAGTTGATTTTAGGAAATCGTTATATATGCGCCTCGATAGAATAATGGCTTTTACAGTAGGTGTCTTCTGTGATCGAGAGCACGTTTGGGTAACAATCAACGACTGTCTTATGCGACCCAAGGCACAGGTATATGGCATTCTATGATTGTTTTTATGTGACCGAAAGTATGGGTCCACAACTGCCTTGTGTCCGCCATGCGCTCAAACTTCTATGTATGTCACATCATGACGTCATTATGATGTCATTATGATGTCATCAGCTCTACACATGCATTCTGGCTGCCAGTGCCTACACAGTGTGCAATGTGGTTCTGTGTGCGGCGAAGGCCGCCTATGATGCTCGGTGAACGAGTTGCGAGACACGACGGAGGTGTTCTGGACTTGCCTGTATCCCAGGGAGTACGCACTCTTCGCTTTTAAAATAATCTAGGCTCTGCCCATGATTGATTTTATGCACAAATGCACGCATGTGCACACACGCACACGCGCACGCACACACACACACACACACACACACACGCGCGCGCGCACACACACACTCACACACACACGCACACACCCTCCTCATCAAAAGTCACAGTGGCCACTGAAGTCAACCACACCGAAATCGAGTAGTGAACAATAACAAATTCCTCTTTCTTTTACGCTCTTGCCTGCCTTACAGAGAATACTATTGGATAGCTGCGTGACAATCGAACCCATCGTCCAAGTGTCCTGTGTACTTCAGTTACAACCCACCTTCATCCTGGCCACTGGTAAGTTCAATGAGTACAGTAAGATTGCTCCCCGTATGGTGTTCTTCAGGTGCTGTCATAGCAGAAATTTTCGGTGGTGTAATATTTTCGGTATTCTCCGAAATCGGCGGTTTGGTGGAGGGAAATTTTCGGTAAACCCGTTTCCCAGGTAAGCGCACTAGTACTGTACCGAAATTTTCGGTGTGTTTCATTTTTTGGTAAATTTTCCGGCACCGAGTTAAAACAGCACCGAAAATTTCTGCTTTTACAGTATGGCGTTCTTCAGGTAGCCCGAGTTTTTCTGTTAAAATCGACTGAAGGATATTGGGCTTTGCTCTCCTATCTGTCATGGCTGCCTAGGCAATCATGTGACAGTTGCCATGGCAGTATGTTGTGAGAACAGGACTGTGTCGATGACACCTTTCATTGGTGCTATGTGTACTTGCAAACAGTCGTGACAGTGCTGTTAGAGGTGTTCACCTTGTGTACGTAAATATGGCGCAACATACGGAGCACTTGCGCTACCTGCCCACACATGACACTTATTGGATCTTTCAGCATAGGGATTTCTCCCCTAGGGGGGGGGGGGGGGTCTTCTCATAGGGGTGTCTAGGCATATGGGTCTCTCCCCACAGGGTCTCTCCCCATGGGGATCTTTCAGCATAATGATCTCTTCCTCAGAATCTCTCCCCATACCGCGGTCTTTCTCCATAGTGGGGTCTCTCCCAAAGGGTCTCTTCCCCAGGTCTCTTCCCATAGGGGTCTCTCCTCCTATATGGGGTATCTCCCCATAGGGTCTCTCTCCCCATAGGGTCTCTCTCCCCATAGGTCTCCCCATAGGGTATCTCTCTCCATAGGGGTCTCTCTCCCCATAGGGTCTCTCCTCCTACATGTATATAGGGGTATCTCTCCCCATAGGGTCTCTCCCCATAGGGTCTCTCCTCCTATATAGGGGTATCTCTCCCCATAGGGTCTCTCCCCATAGGGTCTCTCCCCATAGGGTCTCTCCCCATTGGGGTCTCTCCCCATTGGGGTCTCTCCCCATAAGGTCTCTCCTCCTACTTCTTCGTCTTCTTGTGAGAGCTTGGACCCCTTGTCCAGCAGGCAAGAAGTTAGAAATGCCTGTTCATTCTGGCGAAGTAAAATAAAATCAATCAACCAACTATATCTCTCCATAGGGTCTTCTTCCCCATCCTCTTCTTCCCCATCCTCTTCTCCTCTTCTTCCCCATAGGGCTCTCTCTCCCCATAGGGTCTTCTTCCCCATAGGGGTGTTCTCTCTCCCCATAGGGTGTTCTTCCCCCTAGGGTCTTCTTCCCCATAGGATTCTCTCCAACCGAGATCTCTCCCCATAGTTTGAGGTGACCGATTTCTAATAATACGCAGGTTTGAATCCAGACGCTGGTAACCTGATCATTGATCAGCAGGTTTGAATCCAGACACTGGTAACCTGATCATTGATCAGGACAGGGGAACTGGAGTGACAGTTGTTTTACACACCCAACCGATCGATGCACTCGTTTCCTGTCTCTGGTTTCCTCGCAGAGAATAGCACCTCTGTCGCGCACAGTGTCCTGTGGCCGCCAACAGATATCGGTGATTGCACTTTGGAACCCTATCAGTCCGCTGATCAAGGAGGTAGCGATGCATCTGGCGCTGTCGACTTGTCCAGCGGCTCAGGATCATCATCTGGCCAAGCCAGCCAACTGCCGTACAGTGGCTGAGTTCCAATGGAGAGAAAAGGCTACTAGAACAAGAACAACAAACTGCTGATGCAATACTCCTATCTCTGGCAGTCTAATATCTAACATGGGATTATGGAATACTTACACCAGATTTAGCGCTAAAATTGTTTGTACTTGTGGCCCTATGTGTTTATAAGCATCCTGCTGGGTAGACCCGAGTATCAGTTGTCTGATGATTGCCTAGCGGCATGAAACTCAGAGTTACAACCAACCTGAACGTCCTCCTCTGAGTCTAAGCTCTGTCTCTGACATTGAGCACTCTCAGGCTGCAGCTCGGGATCAACAACGCATTTGAATATTATTAATTTTGAGTGTAACTCCTCCTATCTCTGGCAGTCTAATATCTAATAATGGAATATGGAATATTGCTTGAGTGTAATTTAGTCAACTCTCGCTACGCCAGCTCTGCTTTCGTCCGTTCGCTCCAGGTCCTTTACTGCCGATTCCTTTTTCCAAATGTTTATTCTCTTGAACAACAATGACTTGATCTGAAAACAACTCTGCGAACCAGTCGTTGCTTGAATAGGGTCACCAGCCCATTGCTTTTCTTTGATCATATTTGCTGCGCTAATTGTTCGCCACCTCACCGTCTGCCGAAAGCCAGGCCTGTCTATGACAGAATTTCATCTTACCTGAGCTCTAGTACGTATAGGCCACACCGGCTCTTTTTGGATTACTCGTGTGTTTAAAGCACAGCAGCGTTTACTCCCGAAAACACCGTAGATGAGGCTGTGTAACGGCGGATATCGGATATCCGTAGTTAGTAAAAGAAAAAAAGACCCCCACCTTGGAGTTGATGCAGACCGAGTAGCAAAGTGGAGAGGCTGCCCAATGTCATGCTCCTCCAGTTCTAGATTAGGAGCGGTGAACTCCTCACAACGATCAATGACACTGGTAAAGTCCTCCAGTTCTGGATTAGGAGCGGTGAACCCCTCACAATGATCAATGACACTGGTAAAGTTCTCCAGTTCTGGATTAGGAGTGGCGAACGCCTCGCAACAATCAAAAGCAACGGTAAAAGAAGGGTACGCTCTCTTAGTGTACACAACGATTCAATTTTCAATAACACATGATTGCATGAAGACACAGACACACACACAAACACACACACACACACACACACACACACACACACACAGGCGCACACACATGCATGCATGTATACACACACAGACACGGACACGCGGACACATGCATATGTGCGTGTGCGCCCAGAAACACACACACACACACAAACACACACACACACCACTATAATGCACACAAGTTCACACATGCACACACACACACACACACACACACACACACACACACACACACAGCATTCCTGACATATGTCTATCTGGCAAAGCATTCCTGGGAGAAGGCAGACTTGATAATGAGTTCTTTCTGGCGGCAGGCTGTAGAGAACAACACATAAACACACAGACAGGCATCACACAACACACAGACAGACATCACACAAGACGCGGTAGACAAGAGTCCAACAGTGGACGCTAGTTGTCCCAATGCAGTGTTTAGAACCCCGTGCAATCCTTTCTGATTGACACTCAAAACAACACACACACGCATGCACACACACACACACATGCATACATGCACACACGTGCGCACGCACACACACACACACACACACACACACACACACACACATGCACTGATTGCCCTATCCCCTGGCTATTATGACAACATAGCGCCTGCCATGTCACCCCCTATAGTTCCTCCAAACGAGGTGCCAATCATTTACTCTGTCGTCTTTCTGTCTCTCCCTCATATCATTGCTTCTCCAGCTTCTAACCTGCACTCTCTTTCTAAGCTGAGAAAATCTCGATTTAGCAGCTGAATACTAGCTGCGCGGTTTCCAAAGTTTTTTTGACCAGCACTGCAACACTGTTAAAGAAAAAGAAAAAGGCCCAACCTAGTTATGTGGACATACGGTGGTCGCCATGGCAAATAACAGTTTTTTTAAACACGTTTTGCAAAGTGGGCTTACCGCTCAGCTTGCTCACATCCTCGGAATGCGTGGCGGAAAGAACTGAATACCTGCTGCGTAACGCACGCATTTCGGCAGCCACGTTGGTCGACTCGGCCAGCTGTCGTCTCGCCTCGGCAAGCTTAGACTGAAGGTCAGCCTTCTCAGAGCGAGCAGTGCTGAGGCTAGCCTCGATGTTGGTTACACGTAGTCGTGCGGAACGCACGGCAGGATCGACGTCTGCCGCAGTTGTAACAGACGGGAGCGGCAAGAATGATCCGTGCGTGCAAGCAAGAAAGTACACACACACACACACGCACGCATACACACGTATGCTCGCACACATTCTCACGCATATCACACGTGCACATGCACACACACACACACACACAAACAAACACACACACACGTGGAAATGTACATGTGTGTCATTTCTCTGAGCCACACCATTTGAAACTCGCACCATTATTGAACCTGTGCATGCACTGAGCGAGGCAGCATAGCTAGAACTAGCTCCTGAGTGACTTTTCTTGCAGCAGGACTGCAGAAGTTATTCGAATGATGTCACAGAGTGAGTCAGTGATGCCGGGACCACAGAACCATTGAAGCTGTTTGGACCACCCCTTATACTATATCAGGCCCGTCGCACCGACTTTGGAGGTGGGGCAGCCATGGAAGGGGGGGGGTGCGGGGGCCCTCCCGCGGGAAAAAATTTCAGCATTTCCAGGCATTTGGTGCCATTTCAGTGTAGCTGTTAACTACAATGAAAGACTTTTTGATTCTGCAACAAACCAAGAAGACGCTAACGATCGGGGACAAACATCACCCTCCCCCGGGGAAAAAATTCAAAAATTGAGGCCAATTGCAAGCATTTACAGGCGTTTGGTGCCATTCAGTGCAACTGCAATGAAAGACTTTTTTTGTTTCTGCAACAAACCACGATCATGGACAAGGATTTGCCACGCTTGCGCTGAGCTCCGATCATCGCGCATTGTTGCAGGGTTGCAGGGTGCTCCAAAAAAAGGGCCGAAAAAGTGGGGCGGCTAAGGCCGCCCCAGGCTGTGACGGCCTTGTATAGGAACAACAAGGTCTTGAATGTACTGTTTAGCACATAGCACCACCCCTTATAGGAACAACAAAGTCTAGAATGTACAGTTTAGCACATGATGCTCTACATAACATAGAGGGAAAGGGCATGATGGAATACTGACTTGTACAGCAGGGTTTGAGAAAAAGCTGGGTAGGGTCGGGGGGGGGGGGGGGCAGTGACGACCCCAACTTTGACGTTGCTAGTCTGCTATGCTTATTTTTTTCATTAATTAATGATAGAAATGTGAACTGCAGACTAGCTTACTGCAGTTGTCAGCTGGTGGCTGCGGCCCTGTAGGTGCAAACACAAACAACAAGAACGACGACGACGACGACGATTTACGACGACAGCAACAGGACAATGACAACAGCAACATGTGAGTCATTTCAGGCACAACAAAACACCCTGTCTATGATTCCTAGCACCTATATGTACAGTACGGATCGGCTATAGCGTTGGTGTTTGATTTTCGTGAAAATATCACTATAGGCGATATATTACTATAGGCGATATGCATACTTAGGTATGCCTGACAAATGCGTGTATGGTGCCATTCGAATCAGTGCAGCGTGCAGACGCATGCTGTGCATATGACTGTGCAATACGCGCAGTGCAGAGCTACTTCGTGCAGAAACAAAAACTTCGTGACTTTTTGACATGAGTTTTCATGGAGTTCCTGTGCTCAACAAATGTGTTCTTTTGGAAGAGAAACACTTCAACACATTCAATCGACATAACAATATCTACAGGATCGATTAGTGGGAGTAGAGTCTCAGTCTGGGTCGCCATCGCTCGACTCATCACCGCTGAAACCGTTCCAAGTAGCAGGTCGATCGTGATGTCGTATTTCACGGAGAAGCTTCTCCGCGTCCCTGATCGTCTTCGCTGTTACCTGAATGCCTTCTCCAACATCTCGGCGGAGACCACGGTAGCGCTTCAGCGCTGGTACTCATTACTGCCTCCGATCTCGCTCGAGGATGCCCCGGAACAACAAGCACAGCCCACGCCAAACATTTCGAATTATTTCCTCCTAGGGATATCATGGTCGTACCAGCGCTTCCTGGCTGCCGCGATCAGATCTCGCCATGTACGATGTATAATTTTTTATGATCATCACTATAGCCGATGAAAAATGTATGCAATAAGATCATTTTGACAAAGAAATCGTATCATTATAGCCGATATATTACTATAGCCGATTATTACTATAGCCGATCCGATATGTATAGAAAGGGGTGGTTTACGAAAATGAATTTGAGAATACGATCACTATAAGAGGTATATTACTATAGCCGACAACCCTATAGCCAATCCGCACTGTACTTCTCTCGAAGTATTTCATCAAACCTCTTCAGTTAGGCCTCACTACATCGTAAATCTCTGTGGACTTTCTGACATCTACTTGTATGTGCTTGCCATTCCAACAAATCACACCAATCTTCCAGTACAGTCAGACCTCGCTTGTCCATCCTCTTTTATCCGGTTCCCTCGCCATCCGGAAGAAAATAGCTGGTTACAGATTTACAGCATACGCGTTGCATCCGACATAACCGGTGTTCGGTTATCCGGTTCCCTGGCCTATCCGGATATTCAAGTTTTGTGGAAAACGGATGTGTGCGGTTAAACGAGGTCTGCCTGTACCGTATTTTCCGGAGTATAGTGCGCACTTTAGATGTGCTATTTTAGGCCCTAAATCGCAGGTGCGCACTATGCTCCGAATATGAAATGCATGTACTTCAATGATGATTGAAGTGCGCACCCCCAATGAAGATTGGGGGTGCGCGTTATACAAAGGTGCGCACTATACTCCGAAAAATACGGTATACACTACTCAAGACTCGCAGCTAGCAACACACAGATAGGTAGTACTGGTAGATTGGTGTGAGCTTTTAGGAGCGTCAGAAGGTATTCGACATTGGTACGGCTATGAAGGTGGTCCTGGGGTGCTCCCCAGGGGACATATTGGAAGATTGGGCCCAAAGTAGCCCGTATTTTATTGCTCCAAAATTCTCAACGTGAATTTATTAGTGGTCTTTGGCCATACCTGCCGCACAGGTTCGGACGCCCCTGCCTTTCGAGTGCCAGGTGCGACAGACCAAACTGCACTAGCTGTTAGAGAGCTGTCAAGGACACTGGGAATATTTCACCGCCACCGAGTGGAAGTGGATGCGCAGAGTATAAGCCCATTGCGCATTGCCAAATATGGAAGGTATGAGTAATGCATGTGAGTACGCTGGGATCAGGAATGCACTGTTCAACACGACCATGCCCAGTTGACTGTGTGCGTTGTATAGTCACCTACCTGTGCCTATATATTTGGCATGGTGCATCCACATGTAATTTGACCCCGCTTCCTATTTCACACCTTCGCGTGCGCACATGCACCTCGCATACACCAGCGGTAACTGTTGCGTGCCTGTGCTGTTTACATGCCTGCTCTGCTCCCTGTGTTCTCCACTTCTCCTTCTGTTTTCATCAAGTATAGTTTGTAATTCCTACCGGAGTGTGATGGTCGTGTTGGACTGAGAGAGTGTGCATGGGCATATATCCTTAGTGCTGTTGCAGTAACGCAACATGTGTGGGGTGTTTGCGGTACAAATCACGTCATTGCGCAATGGGCTTATTACAATGACCAAAGTAAGAGAGTCACGCAAGCAGAATCGCAAAGCAGAGCTTTGAGTCTCAGCTTTCGCATACAATCAGTCGACAAAAGCGGCTTTAAAGTGATGACAACATGAGTTTGTTGCCGTGCTTGTGCTCGCGTGTGTATTTTAGAGACGGATGTAAGCTATTCAGATGATGTAGGAAGTTGTCGCACTGCTCCGTGGAATCAAAGGAGTTAATAGAACTAACTGCGACTTCTAGGTTAAGTTGAATCCTTTCTAGTGCTACTTTCGTAGAGGTCATATACGTACTTTCAGATACACACTGTGGCAGTGCCCGGTTCCATGTCACACCAATGCACACAGCAGTTGCATGACCTTCCAGCCGGTAGCCGGCGTCACA